CGTATGGGTTGGCGTGTATTCTTGATAGGTTAGATAGGCCACTCTGTTCCCAAACTTGGATGGATACTTTTCCAGAGACTCTTGTGAAGCATTTCACGGATCAAGGGTCTGATCATCGGGCTTTGCTTCTATCGAATAAACCCTATGTCAGGATGTGTCGCCCCCTATTTCGGTTTGATGCCCATTGGGCAGATAATCTAGAAGTAAAGGCTATGGTATCCAACGTTTGGCAGGAACAAATTAGTGGTACTTCGATGTTCCAATTGTGGGGGAGATTGAAGAAGCTTCGTCATCTGCTGTATGACTGGAGCAGAGCGGGTAGCACTAACTCCTTGCGTAATATCCATACCCTGAAAAGTGAAATTGAGCGTATAAAAGCCGTTCATCCGATCAATTGGCAGGAAGTGGTTGGGTTGGAATCCGAATTAAATAGACAGTGGGAGGCAGATGAAGTGTACTGGCAACAGAAATCTCTGGTCCGATGGTTGAAAAGGGGCGATAAGAATTCTTTTTACTTTCATATGGTCACGAGAACCCGCCGAAAAGAAACTTTTGTCGCTTGCGTGTATAATGACGAAGGTGATTGGATAACCGAGGATCGAGGGAAGGCTGAAATCGCCACCAAGTTTTACCAAACTCTATTCACCTCCGAAAATGAGGTGCACAATATGGTTGAGAGGGTGGCGGAACTCCCTATTGCTTCTAGTGTTACCCCGGAGATGAATGCAAGCCTAACGGTCTTTGGTATGGGTTCGAAACAGGTGCCCGGTTCGGATGGTTTTACGGGGAATTTCTTTAAAGCCTTCTGGGGGATTGTTGGGGTCTATGTTATTGCAGCGGTCTTCTCGTTCTTTGAAACTAGTAGGATGCTTCGCAACTTCAATCATACCTGGTTAACATTGATCCCAAAGGTGGATCAGGTGGAATCCATGCGGCAACTCCGCCCCATTAGTCTTTGCCGATCTGTGTACAAAGTGATAACCAAAATTATGCCTGAGAGGCTGGCGGGGGTGCTGCCCCTAATAATTTCGAAAGGGAAAAATGCTTTTATCCGCGAGAGATTGTGGAAAATATCCTCCTTGGGCACGAGTTGATGCACTATCGGAAAATCAAATCCCGTGGAAAGGAGGGATACATGGCTCTAAAGATGGGTTGAAAGGTTCACATGGAAAAGGCCTATGATAGAGTTGAATGGTCCTTTCTTCTCGCGGTTTTGGAAAAGATGGGTTTTAACTCTGTCTGGAGAGGATGGGTGCAGGAGTGTTTGCAATCAGCATCATTTTCGGTTCTCATGAACGTGTCCCCTTCTGGCTTCTTTATGCCTTCCAGGGGTCTCCGTCAAGGGGACCCTCTCTCTCCTCTGCTCTTTGTGCTTTGTACGGAGGGGTTCGCAACCCTACTTCGTAAGGCCATTTCTGAGAAGAGGTTAGAAGGGGTCAAAGTAGCTCCTCGGGCTCCCCGGATATCTCATTTATTCTTTGCTGATGATTCTTACTTATTCCTCCGCGGATCGCTCCAGGAGTGTGAGAATCTGATTGAAGTTCTGAATGAGTATGAGGAGCTGAGTGGCCAAAAGGTGAACTTGGATAAATCGGTTGTTTGCTTTAGTAAAAATATCTCCTTGCCAGATCAGGAGTTCTTGGTTGCGATTCTTGGGGTAGGGGCTGTGGGAGTTCATGATAAATATCTTGGCCTCCCTACCTTGATAGCGCATTCCAAAATGGAAACTTTCCGCTATTTGGAGGAAAAACTGTTAGAGCGCTTACAAGGTTGGAAAAGAAGGACTTTGTCTTGGGCGGCTAAAGAGACATTGATTAAGTCGGTTGCTCTGGCTCTGCCGTTACATGTTATGTCCTGCTTTAGGATGCCTCTGTCTCTGTGTCGCCTGTTGGATAAACATGTAGCTCGATTTTGGTGCGGTGTGGAGGACGGCCATTCCAGGGTTCGTTGGGTGTCTTGGCGAAATTTGTGCCACAGTAAACATGAAGGGGGGATGGGTTTTCGTCGGTTTGATTTGTTTAATCAGGCTTTGTTGGCCAAGATCGGATGGCGAATATTGAATGAACCAGAGTCTTTGTTAGCCCAGGTTTATAAAGGGAAGTACTTTCCCACAAAATCTTTCCTCTCAGCTACGACCCGGTCCCGTCCGTCTTGGGGATGGCAGAGCATTCTCTTTGGCCGCCAATTGCTATCAAAGGGGTTACGTTGGTAGATTGGTAATGGTCAGACGGCTCCGTTGCTTGAGTCGAATTGGGTCCCGCAACAGCATCCTTTTCCCCTAGTGTATAACCCACGTGTTCTGCCTGGGGAGGGGGGGATGTGAAGGTCGCTGAAGTTCTCTGCTCAGGGGAAGGGCGCTTGGTGTGATGGTAAGCTTAGTAAGTGGTTTGATCCCCAAACTTGTAAGGCGATTAAGGCAATACCCCTTCCGAGGAAAAATATTGAGGATCGATTGATCTGGCATGCCATTGCGGATGGTGTCTTCTCGGTGAAATCAACGTACCACTTTGTGGTATGTTTGGATCAGCAGAATGGCCGTTGGCGGGCTCAGGTTAGTTGGATGGATAGGCAGAGTTGGATCCGGCTGTGGGATGCCAACATCCCTCCGAAGTTGAAAGTGTTTGGTTGGAAAATCTTTAATAGAATTCTACCGATGACTGAAGCGCTTCTTGAGCGAAAGATTGATGTTCGTTCTCGATGCCCTGTTTGCTGGGATGCTTCGGAGATAATGGAGCATCTGTTCCTTGATTGTCCTGTGGCCAGGGCGCTTTGGGCTCAGTTTGGTTTAGAATATCTCGGTGAAGGTTTGCCTCACCATACGTTCCCCTTCTTTCTGAAAAAGTTGCTCTCTATCTTACACCAACCCCAGCAGTTCATGTTGGTAATCGCTGTCCTTTGGAGGATCTGGAAATCTCGGAATTGGGTTATCCTTGAAGGCAAACAGTTTGGGATTCCTGCCTTAATGAGGCAGGCTAACCAACAGGTTGGCGAATGGCTCCGCTTGCTGTCTGATCCTCATTTCGTGCCAGTGTCTATCCAGTCGACCTCTTCGGTGGCGTTGGGTGGGTCGGGGGGGCTTGTATGCCGATGGGATGGTGCAATTCGTAGGGGGTCTCACTCTGCAGGAGGGATGGTTATCCTAAATGAGGCAGGGAGCATCCTCTGGGCTGCTGGGATGTAGTTCCCTTTTGTTGATGATCCCATGGTGGTGGAGTTACTTGCCCTCCGGGAGGCAGTCCGCTGGTGTTCGGAACAGGGTTTTTCGATGATGCGGTTTGAAGGGGATGCCAAGGTGGTCATTGATAAAATACGTCAAGTGGATGTGCGGGATAGTCGAGTGGGGGCTATTTTAGAGGAGATTGTGCATATGCTTGCGGTGAATTCGGGATTTAGTGTGCGATTTGTAGGACGGGATAGCAATAGGGTATCTCATTTGGTAGCTAGAAAGGCCCTGTCTTTGTTCCTGTCTACGTGTTGTTATTTTGACTTTCAGACCTGGCTGAACTCCAGGATGTAACTATCTACTTTTTCCAATCAATATAAGATTATCTTTTGTAAAAAAAAAATCCAATCACCCCTCCCAGATTCACCCAAAATCCAAACCCGTTTGAAACCTATGGCCCATTTGGCCTTGTTAGTCTATAACTTAATTGATCGAAGCATTCATTTGTAATTTAGGCTTGTTTGGAACCTCTAAATCTAAAAGTTGTAGTCTGAGTATACATGTATTCATAATACATAGAAGATGATATATATTTTTTATACTAATATCTGGATATTTTATTAAGTGTTTATAGCATCATGGTCTAAATCAGAAAGGAGGAAAACAGGCGGCCTGTCAACCCATTCCTCTTGAGAGTCCCAGTTACATTTTATGTGGGCTAGAGTGTGAGCAGCCCTCTTACACTCCCTTTTTGCAAAATCCCACTTCACTGGCCCAACTACTTATGCCTTGTCCTTCAGCTCGGTCACCACCACGCCGACCTCCATCCTAGTCGTCTCCGCCCCTGTCATTTTGAGAACAGCCATCTGACAATCCTATTCTACAATCGCCAGCATCATTCCGTAACGACGGTTAAACTAGAATTGAAATATCCAAGGATTGAAATATCATACCGTAACGACGATTCAACTAGAAAAACCTCCTACCGGAGGCTAAACCGGTAGGCGGTATTTAGCGGTAGAATCGCTTGAACCATGATTAAACTACGATTAGTATAAAATACCATACCGGCACCGCTGATTTTTTCGGTACAAACTTCAATATGATATTTCAATCCTCGGTTATAATTTAAAGGCAAAATACACTTTTATAGCCATAATTATTCGCGTTGTGACAATAATAGCCACTTTTTAAAAAATGCAAGAACATTCAGGTCTGTGTGATGGGTCACGGCCTGCAAAAGTGCCCAAGCAGCGAGGTCCAATTGACAACGATGGTGGCGGGATCTGAAGGCTGCTGCAGCGAGGTCCGATTGACGACAATGTCGACGGTTGAAACGGAAACTCGAGGACGACGATAGTGCTGTGGTTGTCAGCGTCGGCGCCGGTTGATTAAGATTGAAAGGTAGAAAGAAGGATTAGGAGGAGGGAGGAGGTAGAGTGGTGGCGGTGGAGGTGGGAGGAGGGCGATGAGAGAGAGGGGAAGAGGTCGTGGGAACGGAAAATGAATAAAAAAAGGTTGTTTACTTTATTTTTATTTTTTATTTTAATCCACGTCATTCAGTGGGGTCAGAAACACGCCAACTAAGCATCCACCGTTTTTCCAGTCATCAAGTTAACTGACGGAGTTAACAGAGTGGACAGAAATGGATATTTCGTGTATTTCGATAATTGTGGATATATTTGTCACAAATCTGATAGTTGTGGATATAGTTGTGAATGGATATTTGTCACAAATCTGATAGTTGTGGATATATTTGTCACAAATCTGATAGTTGTCGATAATTGTGGATATACATTTGTATTTTGAAAAAAAAAAAAAAAAAACAAAATCCATTCACTCTGAAACCTCGATTCACTCGAAACCCAGGTTGCCACAATTCATATCAAACGCTGTCGTTACCGGCCCAGGTTGCATAGCCGTCCCAATTGCCGTTCACTCTCTTTGGCAGTCTTTAGGGTTCTTCGTGGAAGCGATAAAATTCTGGCCGGCCTCTCACCGCACTCTCCCCGGTCATTAGCTCATTGGCGACGTGCTTTCGGTATCCCGTCGGCGGCATGTTTCTGCTATCACCGCAAAAGTAAACGGTTGTACTCGGCGTTACTTCTCCTCACATTGTAATAGCTTTTGCTGAGATTACTCGGGTTGTTCCATATTTATCGAGCAAACAAAAATGGTGGAAAGGAAGCTCTTCAAGACGAAGTTATGCATACTCTATCAGAGAGGTCACTGTCACCGCCAGAACTGTTCATTTGCTCATGGGAGCGCTGAGCTCCGGCACATCGGAGGCTCTTTCAACGGTAATTGGCTCTCGATTTCGTTTCAGTGTTCCAAACATATACCCTCGGGCGGCTATTGCCTCAGCTATTATATCTCGGTTATCTCTATCTGGACTTATTTTCCCTTTCCCTTTCGTTTTCTCTTCGTTTGTTTGTTTGTTTGTTTGTTTGTTCTTTCGTGCTGTGTGCACGATGGAGGTGTTTTCATCAGTCACGAATGCTGGAATTATGGTTTATCTGTGCTATAATTACATGATGCGACCTGCACGATGATGACATTGAATGACCCTTGCTGCTGGTTGATTACTTAGCTACGCCTTTGGGGTTCATTTGGTTCTTGGGTTTGTGGCTTCCACTTACGAATATTCTTATCATGCCAATTTGCTGAAGTTCTTCCTTGATGGGTTTCGTTCTTAGCTGTTTGTGAGAGGTGAATGTTTTCTACAAGTTGATTTGGCTATGAGTGGGAGAGTCAAGATACACAAGCAGCATGGAGCGTGTATTAACTGGATTCCCTGGATTCTCTGCCATCATATTACCTTCCCGAGATAGTTACTGGATTAGGGCCACATGTTGGGGTTTCAGATGGGGAGTAACATCCTTGACCAGACTTTCTTCCCACCAGAATGGCTGCTGCTGTATGCTTAAGATGTTGTGATAGGGATATCATGATCATATTTCTATACACTATCATAATATATCTTCCTGCATCAACAGTATCATATATGCTTCAAAATGGATCAGAACTGGAGTTGTTGAAATTCATCTCTGATGATACGGATGAGACAACTGGTCCGGGACAATCTCAAACTTCATTTCCAAAACTTTCAGTGGCCTGTGGGATGGTGGAGATACCCATTATGTGCTCTTCTAATATGACATCTCAAAGCGGTCTCTTTAATCATCGAACTCTTTCTCGAAGATGCAAATCTTTTTTTCACGTGAGATCAATTTTGAATCATTAACATTTCATGAGGGAGCTGCAGAGGATGCCGATAAATTGACTACTATACCTCTTATTGCTCTGAAGACGCAGTGTATAAGTACTTATCCAAGTTCTACTTCAACAATTGAAGAATTCTCTCATTCCCACATTTTTATGTGGTCAATTCTATTACTATTCCTTATTAGTGGAGTTCTTTCTATAAACCCTTGGAATCACCGCAGGCAGTATTTATGTTCATTGTTATGTTACTAATATTTGTTCCATATGATGGTAAGCTTACCTCATAATCATTGAGATAAAATAAAAAATTGTGATCTCTTGCTTTAACTGAAAGACTGCAGAAAATGACCAGTATGCTTTATTGTAATTATCATTCTGTCCAGCCGCAGATAGAAGGAACAATAGAGGAGGTGACCTTAGGGATAAGCTTGGCAAGAGGCTTTCTCCAGAGAGAAAGTATTCTCCGGATGGAGATTCCAGAGGCCGGCGAAAATTTCCCGGTGAGAGTTCACTTCACACTGTTGCTTACAGTTTTCAACCCTAGCTTAATTGATTGATTCATTCTACAACATCGACATTCTACAATATGCTGGGTTGTTTGCATCTTATCCTATCATCTCCACCTCAGGTTGGGTAAAATTTGGGGGTTTTCATTCTGCTGCTTGCTTTTAAAATAAATTTTTATTTATATTTAGTTCTCTTTTTCGGTTGCAGGGTCTAGCACTTCAAGATCACCTGAGAGAAACGGGTAAACAATCGAGCTGTAGCTTTACAATTCATAATGTATTAATGTTTGTTATGCATGGGAATGTAAAGTTCTATTGTGTTAGGTTACGTAAGTTGCATCTGTCACGATTACGTAGCTGTGACCAGGGCATGCTTTATCGCAGTTGCATGCTCTGCCACTACTCTGCACTGGGAACTCTAAAACGGTTATGCTTGAAGGATCCTATTGAAGCATTTATAGCCTTCTTTGATGTTTCATGACACTACTCTTGTAATACATCCACAAGCTCATTTATTCCTTGTTGTCGCAGTCCCCAGCACTGTGAAAACAAACCATTCCCTCACTTGCTGGATCAGTACAGGGGCCTTTGCTTTGTTCTTCTGCTCTTCATTTAACTCATTCATTGCACCATCATCAGCCATATATTTTCCTGCTTCATATGCGAAATGCAAATCCTTCTAACTACTATCACCAACTCCAATAATTCTAATGATAGCTTTGAGACAGCAACAATCATTTCATTTTCATAGATCAAGCTCCATAATTGGTACCCTTTCAAATTTGGGATATATTGGAGACCTGAAGTGCCCTTTGCAATTGGTTTTCCTTGCATCATTCTATCAGCACTCTCCCAAAAAGTACATGCAATGATAAGGGACATGATTTCAAATTGACCACCAAAACTTCTTTACATACAATTGCATACGCTGCTTTTTATTTTGTACATCGATGTCAAGCTGAGTTTGCCTTTGTCATCATGATTTGGTATATATATGTCTACATGCTACTCAATGACTATGGTTGACTTCAAGCATCAAATCTTTTTTCCATCCAGTGACAGGAAGCGAAGGAGAAAGAATCTGTTTGATGTCCAGAGTGACATGAAAGTCTCAGATGGTATGGAAGATCAGTTAAGAAAGCAGAAAAGTGCATCTGATTCCAGACTAGCTCTTGAGAAGCAGGTTCGGAACAGCTTGTATTTTGTGTCTTATTTTGTCAGTGTCTGCAAGCATCATTCCCTTGGTTTGAGACGGTTTTGTTTGGTAAAACACAGTTCAAGGAAGTGCAGGCAGATATTGACATACTTGATCGCGACAGATCTCAGTTGAGGGTAAGTACAATGCCTCTTTTTCTCTTCTCTTACATTCAGTTCCTATACCTTTTATGGGGAATTTGGATGTTGGATTTGAGACATGAATGATTCTGTCTAATCCTTGGATTTGAAACATAAAGGTTTGGTGATTGATTTGGAGATTTTGTTGTTTGGATGTTGGGTCTCATGGATTGACTAGTGGATTAGGGAGATGTTGACAAAATGAGGGGTTATACCAAATCTACATGCTTGTTCTTCACTACCAGCTGATGTTATGAGGCACTCATTTCTTTTGCAATTCGTAGTCCTTGCCAGTGGATTTTGGCATGTTTGATGTGGTCAATCTTAAAAATGACCTTGTACTCGTTTCTTCTTTCTCACAATTCTTCAATCTATTTTCTTTGCGTTTGTTCTATTTGCCATTAGTAATCTCTGTTTCTGTTGTTGACACCTTAATTGTTCTTTCTGTCATCCCAAGATCTTAGTGGAGGAGAAAGTTGAGGAAGCAGATAGTCTTAATTCTAGAATAGAGGAGCTTGAGTCTCAGCTTTCTAGAGAGAAAGAAGAATGTAAAAGGTGATTGTTGAATAAAGTAACATGATGTTTCACAGTTTCAGTTTAATGATTCTGGTGGTTTTTGCTTATGATGTGCTTCCTTCCTAACTTCCAGGATTACTTCGAAAATAAAGAAGTTTATTAGAGCACAAAAACGTTATGTCCGGGATCAAGACGAACTCAAAAGGTAGTTCCTTAAATTGCAGTGTGCTTCTTTTCTTCATTTTATGTTACCATAGCTTCTTCCATAACTCTCGCAATAAAAGATTCTTCCATAACACAACCTAGTCATGGAACTACTCATAGGTCACAAGGCCGACTGCAGAAGTTGGGAAATCAGCTTGGGTCTAGTCTTTCTGTAATGGACGGCAATGAAGAGGACTCGAGCATCAATATTGTCAGTGATGGTGAAAACAACACTAATCATGGGACCACCAGGAGGAATGAGGTCCAAAATTTTTCTTCTGTCAGCAAGAAAAGTTTGTCCGATAAACGGGACGTCGTTGAAGAACTATTCCAAGGTAATAATCTAATCCACGTATGATCTTTGTGCTTTTCAGGAAACTTTCTGGTTCATGAATTGATGCTTGTTACCTATTGTTGCCTTGCTTTTTGGTGGGTTTGAAATATCCACTGCGGCACTGGAAACCTCATCCTACAGTTAGATTCGCTTGTGGATTTGGTTTTTCATTGATATGCCGTTGACATTTTCTTATCCCAGTTAGTTACATATGTGATGTGCTTGAGCAACCAGCCGACATTCTAAGAAAATTGCCAAAATTATTTTGGGAACTGAAAAAAATGGATTTTGGAATTTGAAAGTCAATTGAGGACCAACATAAACTTGTGGAGTCTTGAGCATGCACACACTCTGTAGTGAAAAAAAGTATAATTTGCCAAATTTCAATTAGCTTTCTTCTGTTTGTTAGGCAACCCAGCCAGCGGCGGAGCACATCATGTTGAGACTTTTAAAATGGATTACCTTCCAAATGTACCAGTTCGGTCGACTGTCAACAAGGACACTGAATTGGTTCTCAGTGGGAATGATGGTCGTGGACAGCAGGGAAGTAAGGGGAAGCAAAGAGGAGGTAAAGGTGCTTCTTTCAGCACACCACCTTCCGATAAGGTCTGTTTGTCCCTTTCCCTTTAGTAATTCTTGGGCGCTTTCTGTTTCCTTTTATTAATTTTGTCAAACCAACTTCTGAATTGTAGCAAAAGGGACCATCTGGTTCCATGGCTTTGATACCATCCACCAGCATTGCTGCTCATGCATTTGATGAGACGGTAGACATTGAAGGTGAGGAGAAAGTAGAGGTGGTTGAAAATGTTTCTGCAGCAGGTTTCAATAATGGAAGCTCCTCCGATGAACCCAGAAGGAGGTTCTCCTTCTTGCCTCCCCTGCTTCCTTCAATCTCCAAAAATCATTATTCTCAGGTAATGTAATCGTCCATGGCATGTTGCACTTTAATTCATCTCCACGGCTGTCTTGAACATGACACTATTAGATATCTCGATCAAAATCTGGTTGCTCTCACTTGCAGTACAAGGGTAATGATGAGAGCGTGAATGGGGATGACGAGATGGCAGAGGTGGACATAGTTTGATGGCCCTGTTGCTGCCCCTGCTGCTGCATTTTGCTTTTTGGATTCGTGTCAACGGCACTTCAATCCTCGGACGCTGTTTGATGGCATATCAGTTTTTTTTTTTTTTTTTTTTTTGTATAGCCCTTTTGTTTGCTGGTCGACTGTTTTAGTTTTGTATGAAGTCTTTTACGTCGACGAGGATAGTTTCCTAAGAGCAAGGTGCTAAGCAACGACAGAACATTTGTAGGGTTTTCCAGGAGGAACAGAAGTGACTTGTTTTATTTTTATTATATATATGTGGTTGTCTTAAATTTGGTTCATACTGTTGCTTGGGAAGTGCGTTCCGATATATATTTGATTCCATATCGGGAAAAGAGCTTTAAGCTAGTTAATTGAAATCTCTATAAAGCTAGGATTAGAATGAAACACGCCCAAAACTATAGTGCGCTGTACATCTCCCAATTCCAATTCCAGTCTGCCTGGTCTGAAGTCTTTAGTTTATATGAAAATTCTGAACAACCCAAGTCATAGGACAACAATACAGCAAGTATTTCCCACTTTTGCCAGTGTGTTATTCATGGTGGAAACGTGAGAGATTTCCATCTCTCCCTGGTTTCTCCACTCTGCAAACTGCTAAAATGAAAAGGTTGAAAAGATCCACCAAGCACCTGCAAGACGCGGATTTGATATCTATCACGCTGTGGCACCATGTTGCTGCGGCTGCTGCCATTGCCACTGCCACCATAGTAGGCAGTGGTGGTGAAGATAGGTGACGAGTCAGTGGAGCAATCCAATAGGGTGAGACAGTATCGTCATGGGAAAAAGAAAGGGACGTCCCAGTCGAGGCCAAAGCCTTTACTGGGTTGAGTACAGGAGCATGTTGACAGCGCAGGATCAGAGATGTATATGACTTGCCTTGGTTAGAGAAGAGTTTATGGTTGTGACAGGGTAGCAGCCAGTGTGGGAAGTAAAAGTGAGCTTGCCTTGGTTGCAAGTAACCTATTTTTGGAAGCGTGGATCGCCACAGCCAAGGCCTGTTCGGAAAAGGGAAATATGTGGGATGTTGCCTTTTGTGTGTTTACTTGTTTTGCAGGCAAGATAAAAACTAATACCGTAGATGGTTAACACGACATGCTCTCCATCCCCCCTCTCCTTACTATCATGCCTAAAAGCAAACCCCGGCGCGGCCGGATTCTACTAGATACATAAATAAGGCCGGGGCTTACTTGTTCAGCACGCTGCCTAGCTACACGGCTAGATCAACAACTGCAAATTGAATGCCTTGCCAATAAAACAACTGACCCCTATGTGAACTTGTATGGAATGGAACCAATGAATCGGAAGCAGAAGCCACACACTAGACAATCAATCTGGAAATGGCCAACATGTTAATGCAGGAGTACAGGGCAAGTTGACACTACATAAACTCCTACATGTTTCAACCAAAAAATGTACAGGCAGGCAACTAGCTCCAGAATCCAAGTTGAAAGCTTTGCCTAGCCTAAGGGCAATCTTCAATTACTAGAGTTCCCTAAGATTGACTTTCCTCGAGCCCTACAAACCAAGTCTTTTCTCCATGTTTTGTTTCCCAATCAATCACCATTCAGCTTTAACTCCCCATCTGGAAGGAAGAGTCACTCGGGCACTTCTTCAATCTCCGACACGGTCGTAAGGCGAGGGCGAGGGCGTGGACGAGGCGCGGAGGTCGATGGTAGCTCCGTACCGGGGATGGAAACGAGATCCCTAATCCTGGCTACCTCCTCCCTCAAGCTCAGGTACAGCTCCCTCAAGTTGGCCACCTCCCGAGCCAAACTTTCTATCGTGACTGGCGCCTCATTGATGTCAGGCGTCGGTGCGGCTCCCAGCTCCACCTCCACTCGGCCGGAGCTCTCGACGTCGGGCCTCGGTGGGGCCGGCAGTGCCAGGCGTGCGACGAAAGCTAGTCGGAACAAAGATAATGATTATAAAAAAAAAAAAAAGAAAATTTAAGATAATCAAAGAATTGGGAAGCTACAGTCATTTTAATTACCTCGTGGGATCTTGGAGCGCACATACTCCCAGTACGTTGATCTCAGTACCAAGAGGATGGTACTGAATCCCACTCTGTATCTACGGTGGTGGGAGAAGTAGAGAGCTCCTATGACCACCAAAATGGTAAAGCGCCCAACGAAAGCTACCGCGTAACGGATCTGCATACCATCAAATTAATCAGTTAAAAAATAACTTAGTCATGAATTGAAAACAATCAACATGTTACACATTGCTCACCGCGATAATCTTGTTGTGGAACAGTGTCACTCCTAGAGGATCGATTGTCTCGGCAATGGAGGAATTTAGTAGAAGAAGAGAGGAATCCAGAAAAGAGGACAGACGAGAGATAGAGAGAGAAAGAGGAGGGAAAGGTAAAGTTGTTATTATGCCAAAAGGTGGTTACAACGGTCTTCCCGGGTTCGCTTTATACAGAAAGTAAAATATCCAATTCAGTCCTCCAACTTCTATTCCTTAGCTCATTTCATCCGTCGGTTACAACTCCCCACCCCATCAGAAACAGCTTGTCCTCAAGCTTGGAAATCCGGAAAACGCTGCTGAAACTCAGTCAAAAATTCCCAGGTTGCATCCTCCTCACCCTGATGCGACCAATGCACAAGAACCTGTGTTGCTGGCTTGTTGTCTTTGGCCACCATCTTCCTGGCTAGGATGGCAAGAGGAGCGAGCTTGAGTGCTCCCTGATCATCAACTGCGGGTAAGAAGGGCTGAACTGCAACAGAAGAACCCACCCTCGCCTTCTTGAGGAGAGATACGTGGAATACAGGGTGAATGACAGAGTCAGCTGGCAACTGTAACTTGTAGGCCACAGCTCCAATTTTCTTGATGATGGGAAATGGGCCAAAAAACTTAGGTGCAAGCTTCTGATTTGCTCGACTGGCCACTGAAGTCTGGCGATATGGCCGTAATTTGAGGTATACCAAGTCCCCTTCCTGCAAAACTCTTTCAGTCCTATGTGCATCAGCCATCTGCTTCTGTTTGTTTTGTGCCTTGGCCAGATTGCTGCGAAGGATGTCAACCAATTTGTGCTGCTGCTGCAACCTGTCTGCTACTGCTGCAACTGGAGTAGATAGTGGATTCTGAATGGCAAACTGAGCTGGGGAGTAGCCATAAAGAGCCTCAAAAGGGGAAACCTGTAAGCTGCTGTGGAAGTTGGTGTTGTACCACCATTCTGCGAGAGTTAACCATGAACCCCACTGCTGAGGACACAAGTGAACCATGCCTCTTAGATATTCCTCCAAACACCTGTTAAGCCTCTCAGTCTGACCATCAGTCTGAGGATGGTATGCAGTAGAGTAGTGTAATTTGACTCCTTGTAATTCAAACAACTTGGACCAGAAAGAGCTGGTGAAAATAGCATCCCTGTCAGAGACAATTGTCACAGGCATGCCATGTAATTTGAACACCCCATCAAAGAAAACTTGTGCCACTGTCATTGCTGTATAAGGCTTGGACAGGCCAAAGAAATGGCCATATTTTGAGAACCTATCCACCACCACTAACACAGCCTCCTTCCCATGAGAGTTGGGCAAACCTTCAATAAAATCCATGGATATATGCTTCCAGGCCTGGTCTGGGATAGGGAGTGGCTGAAGTAATCCAGGATAAGGAATGTTCTCTGTCTTACATTTCTGACATACATCACACATCAGCACATAATTCCTCAAATCAGTTTTAATGCCAGGCCACCAAAAATATCTCTTGATCCTCTGATAGCTAGCCTGCACCCCAGAATGACCACCAACTGGTGAATCATGGAACAAACCAAGTAACTGTTGCCTCATTGTGCCCACAGAACCCACATATGGCTGATCTGTGATAGAGAAGACCCTGATGGATCCAAAAAAGCTTTGGTCCAATTACTGGGACAGCAGCCTCCACCATGACCTGCTGCACCTCCTGGTCACCTGAGTAAGTGGATTCCAACTCAGAAAGCCACTCAGGCAGGACAGCAGAAATTGGACAACAACCACCAAGTTTGGCCACAGAAGCTGCAAAGTCAGGATGCCTAGACAGGGCATCAGCAACCTGATTGAACCTACCCTGTCTATATTGGATTTCAAAATCTAATCCCAAAAGTTTAACCAAACCTTTCTTCTGTATCTGAGTATGGATCTTCTGCCCTAAGAGATGCTTGAGGCTCTCATGATCTGTGACAATTTTAAAAGTCCTGCCCTCCAGGTAATGTCTCCACTTAGTGACAGCCAGAATGACAGCCAAATACTCCTTCTCATATGTGGAAAGGCCCTGCTTCCTTGGTCCTAGGGCCTGGCTGTGGTAAGCCAATGGTCTGCCTTCTTGAGACAATACTGCTCCAATTCCCAAGTCACTTGCATCAGTCTCCAACACAAAGGGTTTTGAAAAATCAGGAAGGGCCAGCACAGGAGCAGTGACCATAGCAGTTTTAAGAGCTGTGAAAGCCTCTTGTGCCAAGTCTGACCACTGAAAACAATCTTTCTTCAGCAAATCAGTGAGTGGTTTGCCTATCACTCCATAATTCTTCACAAACTTCCTGTAGTAACCTGTCAGACCCAAGAAACCACGCAATTCCTTCACTGTTTTTGGAACAGGCCAGTTTACCATGGCCTCTATCTTAGCAGGGTCAGTAGTTACACCCTCCTGATTGATGATGTATCCCAGATAATCAATCTGAGTTTGACCAAAGGCACACTTAGAAGGTTTTGCATACAATGAATTTGCCCTCAGTATGGATAAAGCAGCAGCTAGATGTTCCTTATGGCTGATCTGATCAGGGCTATAGATCAGAATATCATCAAAGAAAACCAGAATGAATTTCCTTAAGTGAGGGCCAAAAATCTTATTCATCAAGGCCTGGAATGTGGCAGGGGCATTGGTGAGGCCAAAAGGCATCACAGTGAACTCATATAACCCTTGATGAGTTCTAAATGCAGTCTTGTGTTGGTCAGCAGGATCCATCCTGATTTGGTGATAGCCAGAAAGTAGGTCCAGCTTGGTAAAGAACTTGGAACCTCTTAATTCATCTAATAGATCATCAATCACAGGAATAGGGAACTTATTCTTAATGGTGAGGTCATTCAACTTTCTGTAATCCACACAAAACCTCCAAGACCCATCTTTCTTAAGTACTAGCAATACTGGAGATGCAAAAGGACTCCTACTAGGTTGAATGTAATGGGACTCCAACATTTCCTTGACTAATCTATCCATTTCATCTTTCTGTGGAATAGAGTACCTGTAGGGACGAAGATTTACTGGTTGGGAATCAGGTTGGAGTGGGATGGTGTGATCACAATCCCTTGCAGGAGGTAGACCCTGAGGCTTGCCAAAGACGTCACTGTACTCCTGTAAAACGGACTCCAAGAAGTCAGGAGGTTGATTCTTCCAGTCTGCAATCTCATTCAAACAAGCAAACTGGTCTACCGCTTGCAAACTGCATAACTGCCCCATAAAAGCAATCTCAGACTTATCCCAAAGCTTTTGTAAACTTTTCCCAGAAATCAGTTTACACTGTGCTAGATCTTGAACCCCTGTGAGTACCACTTCTTTTCCCTGCCAGTCAAAGAATAATTGCAACCCAATGAAATCAAACTTGACAGGACTGATAGTCTTGAGCCAGTCCAACCCAAGAACAGCATCATTGGAGCCCAGACTTAAGATCCTCATGTCATATTGAAACGAGTGCCCCTGCATTTCCCACACAAAATTCTTACACACCAAATGACTAAGCAGTATGGTCCCATCTGCTAACTTCACCCTTAAAGGATTGCTGGCCGGAGTTAATTGGCACTGCAACTCCTTAGCCTTTCTGTCACTGAGGAAAGAATGAGTGCTACCAGTGTCCACCAAGATGTAAATCTTGGCATTCTTGACTCGTCCTTGAACTACCAACGAGCTAGCCATACCCCCACTGTTCAATGCTTGCATCGAGACTTCCTCCAACTCAGGGCCATCAATCTCCACCGTGGGTTCAATCAACACTTCCTCCTCACAACTCTGCCACTGATCAGACACCTCAGCTTCCCCTTCTGCCTGTAACATATTAAGCTGTTTCTTAGCATCACACACATGCCCGAAAAAATACTTATCACCACACTTGTAACAAACACCCCTTGCACCATTAGTCTTCGGGTTCGTCAGAGGTGATTTCAGACCACCAGCAGGCTTAGTTGCAGTCATAGTATTCTCCCACCGGCGAGGTTGGTTGCCATTGGAACTGCTGGCAGCTCCCAAAGAACGATTAGGCACCCCTTGACTGTTGCGCCACTTCCGTTGACGAGCAAGATTCGATGCTTCTTCCAGTTGTGCAAATTGGAACGCATCTGCCAGAGTTCGAGGATTCCACATCTGCAATACTGGCCGCAGTTCTTCCTCGAGCCCGCTAATGAAACTGCTGATGAAGTAAATCTCATCTAACGCTGGATTGAAACGCGCCATTAAGGATCGGAGTTCCTCAAATTTTTCTTGATATTCTGCTAAGGAACCCCGCTGCCGCAGCTTATTGAACTCGGCCACTACACCCCCATACGTACGATTCCCAAATCGCTGACACAAGGCCGCCACGAATTCATCCCAAATCAATTCTCTACGACCTATTTTCCACCCTTCAAACCATAGATCCGCTCGTCGTTGGAAATAGATCACCGCCAAATTCACTCTCTGCTCCGGCGGAATCCCGTAAATCTCGAACAATTTCTCACATTTCCGCGTCCATTCGCGAGGATCATCGCCATTGAAAGCCGGAAAATCAAGACGGGGTAGCTGATGAAACGGATGAGGATTACCTGGGCCGTGAACTGGAATTTGTTCCCGCTCTGCAACTGGATTAACAACCGGAGCGTGAGCCCTAGGCGCCTGCCCCAAAGCAGGTTCAGCCCCCCGAAAACCTTGATGTGGCAAAGGAAGAATGCCCCGAGCATTTCGATCAATCGGCGGCACCCCTGGCCCTGCGACGACGGCCGTCGGACGTGGATTAACCACCAACTGCAGCATCTCACGAATCTCATTGGTGAAATGACCGAAACGATCATCGAGACGCGTCTGCATATCTGCAAATCGAGTAGCAGAACTCATCTCCAGCTCCGCGAAACGCGTTGCGGAGTTCGCCTCCATCGAGTCCAAACGAGTCGTC